TGCAGCTGAGGCGGTCATCATGCTCGACCTGGTAGCCTGCGACTACTCGATGCAGTGGTCGGCGGAGGAGAGCGAGATGCTGGACCTGCTCTGCGCTGATAGCCCCAAGCCGCTCGACGACCGCAAGACGATCCTCCAGCGCCATCGGCTCAAGAAGCGCGAGGAACGCGACGAGCTCAAGCGCGCGGCCGGCGAGCTCGAGGCCAAGCTGCTTCAACTCCAGCAAGCCAAGGTCAACCAATTTCAGCTTCCTACAAAGTGGAAGCAGCTCGCATTCGACGAAGCCCGGCGCGAAGGCGAAGCCAGGAGCGAGAACAAGCAGCTCAAGGAGCTCGTGCAAGCGCACATGGTTACGGCGCAGGCGCTCGCCAACCTCCTCGAGAAAACGCGAGCGCGCACCGGCGCCATGAACGACCTGGGCAACCCCACCGAGAAGTGGAAGCAGCTCATTCTTGTGCAGGACCCGAGCCTCCGGACTTCGGCGATCCATCACATGCTCGACCGCGAGCACGCCAAGCTCTTTAGCGCGTTTGTGGAAGCGAGCCTTGTCGACGCTACGGGCAACATCCAAAAACACATTGCGAAATACGGCCACCAGGACGCGATGGAGTTTCACTCGATTAGCTGCCGACACATCGATCAGCCGCTGCCTGGCGTTTTGCTCGCGTCGCTCGATGTGCTGCGCGGGAGTGCGTCGATCGCGCAATGGAACCGGCGCTGCAAGGAGCTCGTGACCATTGACGGTGACACGACCTATGTCATTGGCACGTTTGACCACCCGCTCGGCGAGTTTCAACGCCGCGTTCTGTGCAAGGTGTACAGCTGCGAGGGCGTGCCACGTCACGAGCGCGTCGTCGTGGTCTGCCGCAGCATCCATGAAGACGAGTCGCGCCCGTACGACCCGTCGACGCCGTATACAGTCGAGGTCGCGTGGCTCATGCTCGAAGCCAACAAAACCGGCGGCACGGACCTCAAGTACTTTCAGAAATTCCGCCCGTCGACGTGGTCGGCGTCGACGCCCGTGAGTTCGCACTGGCTCAGCCAAGTCGACGAGCACTCGAAGAGCATGCGGCACACGGCCTGGCGATATATTGACAACATCGCGTCCTCCACCGCATAGGACAGTAATTACACTGTATCCAGGTCCCAAGGCTGTGTTAGCTTCGCCGTCCAATAATATATACACCTTTTCCTGGTACGAATGTTTACTTTTGCATTCCTTTGCCATTTGATGTTAGAGAAAAATAGACAAAATTTGCTAAGGGCTTGGAGCTCGACGCGCAACTCGATCATGAGCTTGGCCATTCCATCGTCGATCCTTGTGCCTTTGATACATGGCCGTGGCGGGTGCACGACGACCCGAGGTGTCGCATTTTCTGAAGCTTCTTGGTCCTACACACAGCTTGACACATTCGCAAGACACTGGCCCTCGATCGCGACAGCGCCTCGCACCTTCTCAACAGACACTTGGTGCCCGGGACCTCAAACTCCAATCTCTCTACTAGTTCAACGTGTCAATGTGTGCATTGTATGGCTTGCTCGATGCGTCGTGGATGGTGGCCAGTTGCGCTTCCACGTCGGCGATCGTGGCGACGACATTGGCGACAAAGGTGACTTTGGCGCGGCGCCGCTTCTCAGTAATGACCGTCCGCTATTCTCTCGTCGCAATGATGCTGCGCATCCACTCGCAGGCCAATCGTCACTTCTCGACCATTGCGTTTACCTCTCATGCAATGCCTCCATGCTCTGGCTAACAACACCTACACTAGCGTGTCAAATGGACTTGCGCACGATTCAAGTGTCGTTGCCCTTCCGGCTCGTAGCCCATCAATTCTATAAGAACTGACAGTACAGTGGTGCCGTTTCGTACAATATATTGTGGACCGCATCAATGCAAACAAAACACCACCAATAATACGCGCCGTACCGAGCGCCACGTCATGTCCAAACCAGCTGTCGCTCTGCCTCGTATCCGGACAAGTCCAACGTCCGGAAACACGAGCCAGTAATCACAGATGAGCAAGAAGCGGCGCGTCGCCAAGACGTCGACGAATGCGGCGGCGACGCCATCGATGCCAGCAGTCGGCGACGTCAAGCTCTACGAAGATGCGCTGGCGCTGCTCAAGCCGCAGGTCTTGTCGACACCGCCGCTGGTCTTTAACATGGCGTCCAACCTCCAGCCGCTGGTGCGCATCGACGACGACGACTGGCTTGGCCTCCCGCTCTGCACGCTGCAAGCTACACACGTGCTGTCGACGTACGGCAACGGCGCAGCGTGCGCGGTCGTACCCGGAAGCCGCCTCCGCTTTGACAACCCGGCGTGGCAAGCCGAGCTCGATGGCGTCGTTCGTTCAAAAGTGCAATCAGCATTTCTCGCGTCCGGGGCGTTTACGTACGAGCTCGCGCACTTGGCGATCGACACGGTAGGTCGGAGCGAGAGCTTGCGGCCAGCGACGCGGCCAAGCAACGCGTTTGGCACACTCTGCATCGCGCTGCCGTCGTACGCGGTAGGCGATGCACCTCGGTTCGGTGCAGTTCCCATGTACACGTCGGTGCCGCTCATGACCGCGCGTTGCGCCCTTGCTCTTTCGTCCACGCCGATCTCGGCAGGTACAATCACGGCCGGCCGCCGGGTACTGCTTGTCTACCATCTGCTCCATGACCGTCCAACGGACCGGGTGCGCGCGGCGGCGGCGGCCGTTGCAACCGTCGCACGCCGACCGTCGCCGACGATCAACATCTTTGGCATGGGCGTGCTCAATCCCGGCAACCTCACGCTAGATGAGAAGGCCGTTGTCGCAGCGCTGCTCCCGTCGCACGATCTCGTTATCGTCGAACATACCTACGCGCGCGGCAGCTTCACGGGCGGTCTGGCGACGTGGGCATTTGCTGACGGTGCCGAGAAGAACGTCGAGGCGCTCCAGTCGTGCATTGGCCACGTTACTGTCCAAGCGTGGCTGTACGGTAATGGCACAAACCCGCGGTTTGGCCTCGTCTTTTGGACCAAGCCGTACCGGGCGACGATGTCGGAGCTCTCGGCCATCGCCCGCGCCCTCTACGACCATAGCTTCAACCCAGCAAGCGACGTCGACCTCTTTGGCCGCGCCAGTGTCGACGACCTCATTTGCGCCGTGCTGCCGCGCTTCCAGCAACCCCACGAGTTGCACGACTACCTGTACTTTACAGCTGTCATTCTCTTCCACGAAGCACTCGGCCGCCTTCAGCGACTGCAGTGGCTCGACGTCTTCTTCTCCGACATCTTTCTCGTGGGACCTACGATACACGACGTGCTCTTTGATATGGGCGCCAACCTCGCGCGCGACATTGCGACGTTTGGCTGGGCCAAAATGGCGCCGCCGCTATTGCGCTTGATCCAGCGCTGGGCGACGCGCACGGACGCCGACATTTACCACGGCTACCGCCTCGTAACCAGCCTCGCCGGCGTCGCCGACCGCCGCCCTAATGGTCCCAACGGCATCGACGTTCCGCTCTTTGAAGTCTGCGATGCCGTGGCCGCGCCCCATCTCACCGAGTGGGTCGTCGACGCGTTCGCTGCGTTGGCCGATGGCATGCGACACATGCCGCATACGGAGTACGACCGCGCTGACGAGGATGCCGACATTCCGTTGCTGGCACTGCGCCTTCTGAAGGGTCACCTACTTTTGGAGGTGTTTGTCGCGCGAGCGCCACTGACCGACCGGTGGCTCTACGGCGCGCTGCCGGACGTCATCGTGGCCAACGTGGCGTCGTTCCGAGGCCCGCGCTGGAGTCTGGCCGAGCTGTGTCTTGAGCACGATTTCAACACCATGTACGACGTCTTGCCCGCCCTCGGCGACGTCCTCCGGCACGGCTACCACCCGTCGCTCGACAAATGGATCGGCTACGTCCTGGACGCCTACGACAACGATGAGCACGGCGTCGACTCGGCGCTCACTATCGAGATGATGGCCGCGCTTCTCGCACTCGGTGCGGCCACCAACACGTTTTTGTCGTTGCTGGACCGTCTCGCGATGACGTGGCGGCTTGCGATGGCACCAGCGATCGTCGCCTTCTTGCACGACTGGCCGACGCTTGTGACACCCATCATGGTCGAGCTCTGCGGCAACCTGCTGCTCTTCTTTGCAAGTGACAAGGAAGGGCACTACGTCGGCAGGATCTACGATGGCGAGGACGGCTACTTCGACGAAGACTATTTGGAAGAAATGGAAGACTACAGTGAGGACGCGTCCGACAGCGACAACGAGTTTGACCCGTTTGACGAGAATCGCAGCCCGCTCCTGGGTCGGCTCCGACGCCACTACATCCACGGCGCCAGGAGCCCGCTCGTCAAGGACATGACCACGTACGCCGGTGTCGCGCTCGACGCGATACGTTCTTTGCCTCATTTGACGCGCGCCGCCTCTCGGCGTTTGCCGAAACTTGGCTTCCGGTGGCGCGTCGATCGTGCTTCAGCCACAAGACGCTCTTTCCAGTGCTCAAGCGCTTCAACGACATGTGTCCGTCGCACCCGCGGGTGTTTGTGCGGCTCGCCGACGGCCTCCTATCGACGCTGCCCATAGTCTTTCCGCGTCACGCCGTTCTTCATGGGTACGCTCTACCGAGCCTCATGATCCGCGCTCCGTGCTGCTACAGTTGCGAGAGCTTCAACTCGTTCCTGATCAACCCGGGCAAGGACAAATGCTCATTTCCCGTCTGCAAGAAGGTACTCGCCGTCGTCGCATTCTACCCGCAGCGCTTGCGCAAGTCGCGCGTGTACTCGATCGACCGTGCGCACATTGCCATCAACAAGGTGCGCCAGCCCGGCCAAGCAACAGCCCGAGCGGTGCGGGCGCACATGCAACGCCAGACACCGCCGCACAGCAACTTGGCCCGCGCGCGCCAACTGGCCAAGCGCGTCGAGGACGCCCGGCGCCGTCTGTAGATATGATTTGCATTTTGGAGAGGAATACACGTGTAGTGCAGACTGTACTTAGTCCACTGCCACCGACAAGGCGTCCACGGTTAGTGCGGTCGACTTTGCCCGATGCTGTGTGGAGCGTAACGCGTGCAAAATCGAAGCAGCGATTGCTTGATGGAACAAATTACTGAAAAAGGAAGGCGACGATGCTTGAGATCGACCTATAGCTGTACATGTAGTGCAGGTGCAATGACACCCCGGCAGCTCCATCGCACTGACGCGGTCTTTATCCGGATGATTCAGCGACTGGAAACGGTTGTAGACTGGTTGTAGACTGGTTGTAGACTGGTTGTAGACCGCAAATGTAGTCAGTCGTCGGTCATTCCATCCGTTATTCCATCGCCCAAGTGACGCAATGTTCAAAAAGAGCTAACAGAATATAAGAATCTATACTAGAGCTATGCTTGTTATCTTAATACGACTCAGAGGTCGGGGGACGACTTGCGCGCAATTGCTGCTCGAGGGGGCGGAGCGCGTCGTCGAGGTCCTGGAGCGCCGCGGTGACCTTTGCGACGACGTGGCTGACGGTGCCTGCGACATTGCTCGTGTCGCCTTGGAGAAGAACGGTGCTCGTGGCCATGAGCGCAACGTCGTCCCCAAACGACTGCACCGAGTCGTACGCGAGATCGCTCAGCTTGCCGCGCATGCGCTGGAGGTCCATCCCTTTGCCGTCTTTCATCTGCTTGTTGTCGCAAAGGTGAGCGCTCTCAGGCATCGCAAGCAGCTGGAAAAATACACGCTCCAAGAGCGCGTTGAGGCGTGCGATCGGCAGGCGCGAGAGGCTCCGCTTGGGTCGCTTCCTGGCCCCGTGCTCGTCCAGTGATGCCGAGACCTCGTGTCGGCGCTTCGGTTTCTTGGTAGGGTGCGTTGGAGTGGTAGAGGCGCTGCTAGGGCTGCTGCCCAACGCTGCATGGGGGTTCTTGTCGGTGCTGCGACTGCCTTTGGCGGCGTGATCCTTCTTAATGTTGGCCGTGTACAGCTGCACTGCAATTGGGTCGACGATAAACGCGATCTTGACCGTCTCGCTGCCATCCTCGTGCACGGTGCGTGTGACACGCTTGATCGCTTGGCGGCGTGCTGGCCGCGTGGCACTCGCCATCGATGCGACCTGCGTCAACGGCGTTGCAAAGAGCGGGGTGCGGCTCCCACCCGACGTGTCGGCCATGTCGCGCTTGAGGTTCTCGAGCTCGGCGGCATCGTCGCGCGCTTGCAGGACCAACGTCGAGCGCTGCGATCGGGGGCCGTCTTTGGCAAAGAGGTTGTGAAGACCCGTTGCCGAGCGTGCGGCCATGAGGTCGTCTCCGTTGGCGCCAAACACATCGTGCTCGAGGTCGCCGACATCATCATCCTCACTTTCATCGTCCTCGTCATCATCCACAATGCGGTCACTTGCGAGCGCGTCGATCTGCGCACGGTAGCGCAAGTCGCACTGCGTCAAGTACGCTTGGTGCTGCGCGTGGAGCGACTTGCGGCTGCCACGAACAAATTTGTCGAGGCCAACTTCGCCGCGCTGCGAGCCTTTGACGCTGAGCGTCCGGATCATCGCGACGCGGTCCCAGCGCGGTAGTTTCCGAATCGCTTCCTCGTCCATTCCCAGCACTTTGAGCACAACACCTGCTTGCTTCATCGTGAGCTTGCGCAGATCCGCCGATGTGCCCGAGAGCAGCGCCGTCGATGCCGAGAGAGCGCCACTTGCGCGGGTCGCCGCGGCGCGAAGAAAGCTAAAGCCCTCACCACAAGCCGACGGGTCGCCATCGCCTGTGAGCTTGAGCATGCCTTTTCCTTGCACGTGGCACTCGACATAGTTGCGCGTCCACTGCCACGGCGTGCGCTCGAGCTGCAGCGCGATTGACCGCGCAATCTGAATATCGTGCATAGGTCTCCCAACCTCGGGGTCGAGCGCCCACAGCGCTTTGGCTTGTCGCGCAAACTCTCGCTTGGAAAAGCCGTGGGGGGACAGCACCCGTGTCTGTAGCTGCGTCTGACGGCTCTTCAGGCGCTTGGTGAGCTGCTCGATCGCTTTCGCAACGTCCACCGAGCTCGTTAGCTGAGAGAGACCCATGTCTTGAAGCTGGCGGTGGCCGCGCAAGTGGCTTTCGTAGAGACAGACAGCCTCGGGCGTCAGCGTGGCAAGGACCGCTTCGTCAGTAACGCGTTCGTGGGCTGCCTTTGGCGCCCACCCGCCCGCTTCGCGCTCGAACGTGGCGAGTTCCTTGAGGCATTTGCGGACGGCCGTGATCGACTGGCTCGGAAAGAGGCGCTGGACAGCGTCCATGAAAATGCGCTCGTTGTTGCCAGTCGCCTGGAAGAGGCGAAGGACGTGCAGGGACATGTATGGCTTGATAAAGCTGTTGGCGGCGCGCGAGCCGGGTGCCGGTACCTCCATCTGCGGCTCGACCTGGCCAGCGACAAACACTGGCGGCAGCTCCAGAAGCGACAAGGCGGAAGCACCGCGCTTTCTCGAGGCAGTGCGCACGAGGAGAAAATACTCAAACTCGGTGGTGGCCTCGAGCATCAACGCGCGCGGCGTGTGCTGGAAGATCGGGATCTTGGCGAGGTTCGAGTGCAGCGACGAGACCAAGGTGCCAGCAGGCACGTCGCCAAGGAACGGCGTATCGTCGTTTTCGCCCAGCGTCACGATCTCGCCCAGGTCGACGCTCGGCGGCGCGGTCGTCTCGCTGGACGGACGCCAGAAGTGCAAGAGGCGCGATGCCATGCCTGGATGCGACAGCACCGGCGGGTGCTGCTCGACGTACTCGAGAAGAATGAGCTTTCCGCCGCCTGTCGAGCTCAAGTCGGAGGCCGTCATCACGTGCGTGGCTTCTGTATTGACAAATGCCGCCGCCGCGTCTCGTGCGGGGGCGATGACGAGGCGCTCGTCACTGCAAAACTTGCCGCGCGGCCGGTGCAGGTCACGGAGCTGCTGCGGCGAGAGCTCGGGCGTCGCCCACGTGAGCTGCGTCGCCGGAACCGAGTGGTGCACACTCGCCATGTGGTGACGACGGCGCGTGTCTCTGCGGTGCGTCGTTCGCTCGGTGTCGGCGACAGCGGCCGTCGCGTCGTCCAGAGCCAACGTGTCGGTCGCCACTTGAAGCCGCCCCTTCTTTGCCTCTTCGACCCGACTCGCCTCCCGGCGTTTCTCAAAGATACTGACCGGACAACTCGGAATCAGCAACGGGATGCGCTCCGCCGCCGAGGACGAGAGCACAATCTGCGTGTCATTCGCGTCGAGGACGACCTGGGACGGTGGCATGTCGAGGCAGCAGTCCCACGCGACAGCGTTGAGCCACGCGCCGTCGTCCAACGACGGGTTCAGAGGACACGTGAGCGTCGGTGCGAGCTCTTGACGCGTGCTCTGTCCGAGAGAGGACGGGGCTTCCCAGCGATAGGTGCGCGGAAGAGTCATGTCAAACAGTACTTTTTGCGCTGCTTCTAGCGACTGCGATGTAGTACAGCTCCGCCTGCTATCTATGTCGTGAAGCATGGCGGTGGGCGGTCGTGTGCACACCCGGCTCGCGACCTTTGGGCGCTGCGTCGTGTTCTCCTCCAATGTCATGACAGACGCTGATCCCAAGCAAGGCGCGTCGCCCCATACAATATCCTGTTCCCAGTCGAGCTGCTCGACGGGAAGGTACAGTGCGTCCGGTAGCTGCAGTACGGTGCGGGGCGCGCCCGGCGGCACAGCCGATGGAAACCGACGCATCGGCTTGCCCACCCGGTTTTGCGTCATGCTCGCGTGCGATGGCACCGAAGACGACTGCTGGAGCAGGTCTATGTCGTCCTGCATGCAGCGCAGACTGTCGTCGCTGCCATCGTCGGCGAACGGGGCAGTCTCGTCGAGGTCCTGGACGAGCTGCCGCAGAACGCCACGGACGTCCAGGCTCTGCTTGGCATAGAGTTGCATGAAGCTCAGCTGGCCCAGGTCGTCGATCGCGCAGTCCATCGGCGGCGTGGCCACCGCCGTCGGTCGCTGCATCTTGCCTCTGCTCATGGGCCGCCAATATCACAAATGAAATGCGATACGAGATAATATTCATACACTATTCGCGTCCATCGACAATAGTGTGATGCCCGGTTTTTTCACTTTTTGGTTTTTTTTTGGGCCCTGTAACACTATATCCGCTCACAACTTGATAAACACTCACGCACTGACACTCACTCCAGGATTCCAGCGCGCAACAACCCGCCGACTGCGTCACTGGACTTGACGCCAAACGGGTCGTCATCCCATGCAGCACATATCATGTTCTGGGACAGAGGCCCTCATCCAGCTCTCTTGCCAGCAGCGCGCGAACTGATGGTAAATTTGCGAATAGTAAGTGTAAATTTACTAAAGTCGGTACCTGAGATGCACTCCTTGCCCCGTGATGCCTCAGAGCTTCATATCCCATTTTGCCGTATATGTATGTTAGTGCATTGTTACATATACCGGTAATAATTATGTAGCTAACACGCTGCAATGGGTTGGCCCTGGTCCACGACAAGCGCCACTGCATCGCGAACCGTCTGTGGTCGCGCCACGTTATTCTGGGATCCGGTGGTGCGTTTGAAATAGTCGAGCATCTGTCTTGTGAGCAGCCCGCGAGATGCTAGCTTGGAGAGACCCGGGATGACGCGCGACCCAAGGACGTCGAGGTGCGCTGTCACCTCTTTGTACAGCGGATCCGGCAGCGTTTCCATGTAGGCCAGCGCCTTGATGACGTGGCCGATACACGGGTCCATGCGCAACGTGGGCCGCATCGCGACTGTCGCCGCCAAAAGCGGAAGAAGCGACCTCAAGGTGCTCTGGGCCGAGCGAAATCGTGTGTCGAGAAGGGTCGCGCATGCAGCGTCCGGCGCTGCGCTACGCTTGGGAAGGAACCGAGTCACGTTACGGACCACTTCGTCGGGCAGCGTCGGCTGAAGGAGGCGCACAGCCACGGCACGTGAATGATCCGCCCGTGCTTCGGTCTCGTCGTAGAGCACGAGCACATGGTGCAAAAGATTCGTCAGCGATTTCGGCGACCCGCTCAAGCCGGCAAAGCAGCGACCCATGGCCAACCAGGCCTTGTCGAGCAACTCGTTCGCATTGCGCGTGGCGTCCATCGTTACAAGCGCATACGTCCACGACAGAGCCGTCGTCACGTGGTCCCACGACTTCAGACTGCGCGAAAAGTGCGCAGCAAACGAGCTTCGAAGCGCCGTCCAGCCAAAGATTGCGACGAGACGGCGAGACCGCCGCACGAGCGGGGCTACGTTCGACGTGAACGTCTCGAGCGTCGTGACAACAGTCGTGGCCAAGGTCAAGTCTTTCTTTACGATGGCAATATCAAGCAGCTCAGCGACGACAGTCGGGTTGGGCGGCTTTGCCCTACACGCAAGTGATGAGAACCACATGCGATACGATAACCAACGCACTGGTAGAGTACGGCGACGCGGTGGGCAAGCTCGAGGACGCTACTGCACCCAAGGGGTGTCGGTGTTTGGTCTCGCCGCGCTTGGAGAAGCGCATCGTAGCTTTTGTTTGGGCCAAGGAGGTAGGCGCGGTGGCTCTTTTTCCAAAATACGATCGCCGACACTGGGCTCGTCGAGGCCGTTTCGGATGGGAAGGGTACGTCAAACGAGGCAAGCGACCGACCGCACAGCGCCTGGCACACGTCGCGTGGGACGAGCGACGCCGGGTGGGCCTCGGCGGCGATGGCGGTTGCATCTTGTATGTCGACTTTGGCAATGTCATAAGTCTGCGAGTCGAGAAGGACCGAGAGGAAGGCAGCGTTGAACGCACTGAGCTTGGCCAGACCATGCGCATTCAGATCGAGCGTGAACAAGCGCAACGAGTTGTCGCCAATACTGTGTGCAGCGTCGATCATCGTCTTGACGCTGTCGGCGTGGTTGACGGGACACCGAAGCTCGCCCTTGTCCTTGGCAACGCGCCAGTCCCACGGACCGTTGCGCTCGGTCCAGCCCTCGTAAACGACGAGAAGGTCGAAAACAGCTTGGAAGCCGTTGATGGGGCAAACATGGGTAGTGGACATGGTGTGTCGAAGACGAAGTAAAACGAATTGTGGTGTCCTGCTCTTCTTTGATCAAAGCCCGTTCTATGCGCACATGATACAAAGTGGCCAGTGTCCAGTTTAGCTGCCGGCTTGTCAGCTTGATAATTAGATGTTGATCGACGCAATCTGTTCGCTATCCGGACACAGCTGGTCATTTGCGTTTTAAAATAAGTGATATATTGTAACCAAGTAAAAACACTGTAAACACGCAACATGTTCAAGCGCATGCCTAATAGTGTGAGCATCAAGATGTGCGTTTGGGACCCACTCGCACTACTTGATAATCGGGCAATCGATTGAGCGCTCTTTTGTGTCCTTGGTTTTTGCCGATAAGCAAGCGATTTGCGTCGGCTAAGGTGCTGCTGAGGTGCCCAGAGAGCCACTGCCGCCTAAATAAAGCGTGCCTTGCCGTGTAATTCCATCGAAGTGCAAGAGCGAGGACTTGTGACACTTCGTGGCGAGATCAGCGTGTTTACCATGTTGTTGCACAAGCGCCTCAAAGCCATGAGTCGGAGCGCGGGGTGGCGACGACACTGGCATTACAGGCATTGGGCCTCGGGTAGTCTGAAGTGACGTACCGAACGTGCGCGTCATCTCCCAACGTATTGGCGGGAGCATGAAGCTTGAGGCATACTTGATTCCAGTGTCCAGAGTGCGTGGCAGTGTAGCATCTGCCAATCTTGTGGCCCAACGCGATCGAAAGCGGTACCGTGGGAGCACCAACGCGGGGCCATGCCGTCGTAGCCACCTGTCTTGCTCTACAACCACGATGCTCTGCGGGTCGTGGCCCAGTACGATACCGAGCTCGACCTGCCATGCCTCTAGGGCACGTGAGTACTGGGCAAACGTATGGGCACTGCTACCGGGCTCACCGCAACGGGGACACGTCGGTGCTTCGCCTGTGGTCTGAAACGGGAACGCCTGGAAGGGCCAGTGATAGTGTAATTGAGCACGGCCCCAGGGTACGGCGAGTGCTTCCATGACGGCTACGATGCAACTTCGCGGAACCGCGACAGCTTTTGACGGCGTACTTGAGAGCGATCAAGTGACAAAGGTACCCGCGTCCACTCCTTGACAGCGTGACGACGACGTATATCGGTGTAGCGGCATGATATTGTCATGAGGCAAATTGAGCATTGTTGACGAGACAGTTCAAAGAGGCATCGGTGACACCACGTTTCGAACACTGCCCTGCAAGCATTGGCTTTGCCAGCATCTTTTGTGTTACGAGTCGATTCCTGCGTTGGTGTGTGAGATCATTCAATGAACCGCTCACTCGATGTGTGCCGAACGTCGGCGATCAAGCTCCAATATTTAGCAGTCGCTCACAGCCACATAATGGCCGGCAGGAATGGATGCCAGCTCGTAAGTGCATAGGCGGTGCAGTCGTCGAGCGCATGCTTTGGTGTATGCACTCGTTGCCTGGTTGTGTGCGGCATTGATGGCTTCATCATGGTTTTGGCGAAGCCTCGCCATGGCTCCCTCGTCAACACGACCCGCTCTGTCATACTATGCCTCATCAAGAGCTCGATGAGAGCCGTGATCAAGAGTGCGACTTGCGAATGCGAGTAAAATTCCTTCTACACCAGGACGGGCTGGTTTGCGGCGTACGCAAGGTCCCAATACATGCCTCTACGAGTACGGCTTGCACGTGGCACTTATAGCTTTTCGGGGCCCGCTTCAATCGCCTGCAGTGATGCTTGGGCCGCTGCATCACAAACATCATTCATTTAAACCACAGGAAGCACAACTCGACCACTCCTACGTCGGTAAGAAACGACGACCACACTTCGGCCATCAAAGGGAAGCGCTCACAAGGCTATTGGCGCTTTGCTTTGAGCGATGCTCTTCGAGCGTCACTTCAGGTGGCAGAGCTATTTCCGCTGACGAGCACGGTTCGCTCGGTCCCTGCTTGCGGTAACCGGGAGAGTTATCCAACATTGCATACCAGCTGTGGAAGTTATCATCTCGGTTCTTTTTCTCATAGGGCATGCCAGTTCTTTGCGTGCCCAACTCAGTGGCGTGGGTGCGTCGTGCTGCGCCGTGTCCATGCCGGCATCAATATCCGGCATCTCGCATTTCGTCGTTGGTCTGCACCGATTTTACATAGTAGCCTCGTCGTTCCAGGTCGATTCGCAGCCAAGTCACGCCACTGAGAAGCCTCGGGTCAAGATCCATGTTGACGCGAGCAGTTTTCGCTTCCCGCCATTTCTCGGCGCGATTTTGTCGTTTGGTGGCTTTTGATTGGCCCATTGCATTGAATCGAGGGGATGACAGCCCGTCACCGACCGCCCACTTGACGACACAGCTGCTGGCAACGGTCGACAACGAGGCCAAGGATCGGCAATTATTTAATTTTGGAGCATCATTTCATTTTATGACTCGATTGTAGGCAGCCAAGTCGATCGACGCATAAAAGAGGAAATTGGATGCTCCCATCTCTGCTCTTTTCGAGTTCCAACGCTCGTTCTCGGGATGCGTCGTTTACGAAACACACATCATTCCCTTGACCTCAGAGCGACTACGACGCCGACAACATCCCAGCTGGCCAGCTCGGATTACAAGACATCGTCCGCCCTCTGATATCCCAGAGCACTCAAGTGGCAAGACGCAGCAGATATATTTCGTTACTACAAACGCGTGTAAAATTGAGCTGCTTTCATCTCCGCGGTGACTGCACGGCCGAGAACGAGCGACAACGATCGAGTGCCGAGAAATGCATCGGCGGCAGCCGGCAGAACACTGACGTTCTTCGCAGCACAGTGGGATGTAGCAGTAGAAGCCTGCGGATACGCTTTCGTCAAGGCGCCACGTGTCCAGTGCTTGGTCGTCGAACTGGTCTGCTGCACAGAGTAGCTCCAACTCAGATCGCGTTGCACCATGTGGTCTGCTATCGTCGCCAGGTCGTGCTGGTAGTCTCGAAAGTGCCACGTATCTCGCTTCTGATTGGCTTGCACCCATGTCGGTGACAGCGAGCTTACCACCAGCGACCACCACCCGTGGGACGTTGCAGTGATCGCGCGGACCACCGCAGGAATATTCAGCGGTCGACGGGCCACAAGAATATTCGAATTGCACCGAACCACACGAACCTTCCGCTCGCAGTGGGCAGACGATCGCGATCTTGCAAAAACGATACCGTAGCGACCAAAGATCGTCGGCTCAAAAATCCAGTGACATTTTAATGTCACGTCCAATTCAAAAAATTAAAGCCCCTAATTCTTGGCAACTTTGTTTTACGAGGTTCGAACTCGTTTGTCTTTGGGTCTGATGTCTACCAGAAACCTCAGTTTGCATTTTACCAGCTCACATGCAGTCCACCACTTGGCGCGTCGCTGCCCTCCTCGCGCTTGCCGCTGTCGCCTCCGCTGCGAGCGCCAACGTCACATGCGAGTCATCGCAGTACCTCGATGCGACGACCAACGGCTGCGTCGACTATGTCAACCAAGGCGCCAAGGCCGGCGCGGTGCTCGATGGCACCTTGGACTCGGGCAACACAGCGTGGATGCTCATGTCGTCGGCGCTTGTCATGATCATGACACCGGGTGTCGCCTTCTTCTACGCGGGCCTCGCCGGCGAAGAGATGGCGTCCAACACGATGATGATGTCGTTCATGAGCATGGCGGTCGTCTCGCTCCAGTTTTGGCTCTTTGGGTACTCGGCCGCCTTTAGCTCGGACGGCGTCTTCTCGTGGACGTTCTACAACCACGTTGGGAAGCTCCCGAGTGGCACGTACGGCAACGGCACGCCCCACGTGCTCTTTGCGTTCTTTCAGACGCAGTTTGCGATGGTGACACCCGCGCTCCTCAGCGGCGGCATTGTCGGCCGCATGAAGTTTGGCTCGTACCTCCTCTTTATCTTTCTCTGGTCGACGCTCGTGTACGACCCGCTCGCGCACTGGATGTGGTCGCTGCACCTCGATGCGTCGTGGGCCCTCGAGCCGTTTGGGTGGGAAGGCAAGATGGGTGCGATCGACTTTGCCGGCGGCACCGTCATCCACATCTCGAGCGGCTTTGGCGCGCTCGCAGCCGCCCTCGTTGTCGGCCGTCGCTACAACCACGGCGAGACCGTCAAGCCGCACAACGTACCGCTGGTCATGATTGGTACGACGCTGCTCTGGTTTGGCTGGTTTGGCTTCAACGCCGGCTCGCAAGGCGCGGCCGACGGCATCGCGGCCGTCGCCGCCATCAACACGCACCTTGCGCCGTGCGCTGGGTTTCTGACCTGGACCGCGCTCGAGTTTGCCTTTTACAAAAAGTTTGATCCGTGTGGCGCGGCGTCCGGCGCGGTCGCTGGTCTCGTGTCCATTACGCCTGCGTGTGGCTACGTCTTGCCGTGGGCCGCCGTCATCTTTGGTATTGTCGGCGCGATCACGGGCTTTGCCGCCGTGCGTTTGAAGAACAGCATGCGCTACGACGATACGCTCGACTCGTTTGCGATCCACGGCTGCGCCGGCGTCATGGGCGGCTTGCTCACGGGCCTCTTTGCCAACCCGGACGTCAACCCTTCGATTGTGGGCGGCGCGTTCTACGGCCACGGCCAACAGTTTGTGCACCAGCTCATCGCGCAGTGTGTCTCGGCCGGCTACTCGTTTGTGGTGACGCTTGTCATTCTCGTTGTCCTCAAGTACACGATCGGGCTCCGCGTCTCGGAGGAGAGCGAGATGAACGGCATGGACGTCACGTACCACGGCGGCCTCGCGTACGACTACGCGCCCAAGTCGCGCCACTCGAACGAGTCGTCGGGCCCGACGACCGGCGAGTTTCAAGTCATGGTGACGCCGTCAACGACCGACCCGGAAAAAGAGAAATCGCACATGAACGTGTGAGGATCGAGTGACGCGAGCGCGTCGTACATGTATAAGCCCAATGGGGGCCAAAATGAAGTGCGTTGACGATATTGGGTGGTAGGGTTGGGGTAGGGTTCGGGTCCGCCTCGTTCAGCCGGACGGTGGCAGGGTCATCGGTTGCTGCCTCACGCGCAGCCAAGGCAGCGCTGTAGCGGCGCATATAAGTATACGGAGGCAAAATGCCCTAGCCATCAAGTACCCACCGCTCGGTAAAGTAGGGACGACGCGATTTGCGTTGTTTTAGCCATACTAATGAAAAAAGTGAAATGTCTAAAATCACGCATTTCGAAGAGATTCTCGATGTGACCATGAATGCACGAGTCGACGTTCTACTGGGCGCCATTTGCGTCAGACACCAACCGGTAGTCTCGACAATCATGACGATGTCACTTGGTCTGGTACACCTCATTTCCCCATCGATTTCGTCTTTTTCTCCAAGTTTCTTTGTGTTTTTGCTAAAAATTGCTTGTGAACGCACTTGCTTCATTGCAGATGACGACGACGATGGCGTCCTCGCCAACACAGAGCGTCGTTGGCACACGAAATGTGCGGGCCATCGAGACCGACAGGATATGACACAGACGTACATAGGGTTGTCGCCAGTCGAAGTGCTTGGAGCGCAACGAGTCGCTACATGAATACAAGCTTCGAGAGCCATAGGTTCAGCCACCGTCAAACACAAAATGCAAAATCATTGGATTCACACAGCAGAAACCTCGTCGTCGGACGTTGACGCGATGGCGGACGCAGCGGCCTTGAGGCGCGACAGCTTGCACTAGCATCGACAGCGTACATCATATGCGACTGGTGCGAGTAGCCCAGAGAGAGACATACCTTGATCAAGCGGAGCGGTCGACTCTTGAAGAGGCCCTGGGCGCGCCCACGGTTGTAGATAGATTTATACGTGTCACTCGTTCCCGAATGAGCGCGCAAGAACGCGACCTCTTCCTTCGAGTAGCGGTTGCCAGTGTTGATGACGAGCGAACGCGACGCTTTGGCCGGCTTGGTCAACGTCCTATCGCCACGTAAGATACGCAATCGCGCGGCGGGTCGCGTACCGCAGGGCGCCAACGTGTTCTCGTGGCGACATGCGCGTCGGCGTCTTCTCTTGCTGTCGTCCGCGTGCCAAGGGTGAAGCGCGTCGGCTACGGGCGCTCGCATCGTCTTTGGGTGTCGTCTTGGGTCGTTTGTGCTGACGGTGGCTGCTACACAACACACCTCAGACTCCACGCCTCGACGTTCATGGTCCGTACCCCTCGCTCGCACACTCTCCGTGCGACGTGGCATCCATCGCACGCTTTGCTCGCCGGCTTTGTTTGGTGCTTGTGGCTGGGCGTGCCACGTCTACATCGTCATGTCAACATGCGTTCATGCAGAGAGAAACGAAAGTCCATACCCGGTGGATCGCCCATGAGATCCTGGCTGTCGCCAACAGCACGCACGAGGATGGCAAATGCACTGAGCGGACGGGACGCTGCGTCTGTTGCCATCGCATGGGCTACTGTCGCTGGTGATGTAGCCTCCGCGCGGCTACCGAGACGCGGCGACGTCCAGTGCTCGACGAGTCGACGCCGCATCGACGCATAGTCCCACACCGGCTCGTCGGCGCGCCATGTTTCGAAGACGTCGGTCATTTCTGGTGGGCACGCATTGCAGAGCAGTGCCATCTTCAAACGATCGGCGGCCGCTAGAAGTCGCGCGTCAGAGCCATGGCTTGGCACAAAGATAACGTCAACGAAGCGCTGGATGTGCTGCTCGACGTGTGCAAGGCCATGAGGCAGCTCGTCGTCGTCGGCCAAACGTACGTTCTCCAGGAGCCCAAAGAAGCGGCAGTTGTCCATGAGCACGTAGCCCTTGGCATGGACGTCAGCCCAAAGTGCGTACGGCGCGAGGCTGCTGTCGAGCTCGTCGCGGAGGTGGGGCGACAGCGCCGCGAGTAGAAATGCCACAGCTGCCGCCGTGGTGCGCGCTTGGAGTTTAGCAGCCTCGGCGCGCGTGGCGTCGGCCACATGCGCAACGACCGCGTGGGCGCGTGCCAGCACAGCGTCACGAAACGCGGCGGACGGCAAAGTGGGCGGCACGGGCGGCACCGTGTTCTCGGCGGCGGCGTGGATCTCAACGCGTCGGGCATGCGAGATGGTCACTGGGTCCTCGTAGTCGTGGACAGTGTAGTACTTGTGCAGACCGCGGGTCGCTGCGGCGTCGAGGAAGCCGCGCTTCCATGCAGCCACGTCGCTCCAGTCGGCGAGGACCGGGCCTGTGTGATGCTCCGACATTGCTGTTTTTCGCAGCTTGAAGGTATCAGATCGTTGCTGGCGTCAGAGTTCTAACACATGTTATGACCAATTATATCACTATCTAATAGCGTTATACATTGAAAAACGTCGTAACGTATGTTACAAAGCGGCTAACAAGTGTGATGCGCTGGCACACGGAGCGCTCGATGCTCGAGAAGACCCCGTCACTCCACCTTTGAATTGCCCCGCGGTAGCCACCATATCATGGGGCGCTGCCGGCTTTGCCATGGGCCCACGAGTG